GGTAATAGTCCCGGTATTGAAGATCTGCAAACCGTTTGCATTTGTCTTGTTTGGTTTTGGATTTATAAGTGTTTGAAGTTTTAAGGGCAGCCTTAAGGTAGGATTAGGGTTAGGGCTTTCCGGACGTACCAGAAAGGTCAACTTTGGTGTCGTTTGAAAGGTAATAACCCCAGTAGAAATTTCCTGCAAACCGTTTGCATTTATCTTGTTTGGTTTTGGATTTATAACTGTTTGAAGTTTTAAGGGCAGCCTTAAGGTAGGATTAGGGTTAGGGCTTTCCGGACGAACCAGAAGGTCAAATTTGGTGTCGTTTGAAAGGTAATAACCCCAGTAAGAATTTACTGCAAACCGTTTGCATTTATCTTGTTTGGTTTCGGATTTATAAGTGTTTGAAGTTTTAAGGGCAGCCTTAAGGTAGGATTAGGGTTAGGGCTTTCCGGACGAACCAGAAGGTCAAATTTGGTGTCGTTTGAAAGGTAATAGTCCCAGTAAGAATTTACTGCAAACCGTTTGCATTTATCTTGTTTGGTTTTGGATTTATAAGTGTTTGAAGTTTTAAGGGCTTTCTTAAGGTAGGATTAGGGTTAGGGCTTTCCGGACGTACCAGAAGGTCAAATTTGATGTCATTCGAAAGGTAATAGTCCCGGTATTGAAGATCTGCAAACCGTTTGTATTTGTCTTGTTTGGTTTTGGATTTATAAGTGTTTGAAGTTTTAAGGGCAGCCTTAAGGTAGAATTAGGGTTAGGGCTTTCCGGACGTACCAGAAGGTCAAATTTGATGTCATTCGAAAGGTAATAGTCCCGGTATTGAAGATCTGCAAACCGTTTGTATTTGTCTTGTTTGGTTTTGGATTTATAAGTGTTTGAAGTTTTAAGGGCAGCCTTAAGGTAGGATTAGGGTTAGGGCTTTCCGGACGTACCAAAAGGTCAAATTTGGTGTCATTTGAAAGGTAATAACCCCAGTAGAAAGATCTGCAAACCGTTTGCATTTATCTTGTTTGGTTTTGGATTTATAACTGTGTGAAGTTTTAAGGGCAGCCTTAAAGTACGATTAGGGTTAGGGCTTTCCGGACGTACCAGAAGGTCAAATTTGGTGTCGTTTGAAAGGTAATAACCCCAGTAAGAAGATCTGCAAACCGTTTGCATTTATCTTGTTTGGTTTGGATTTATAAGTGTTTGAAGTTTTAAGGGCAGCCTTAAGGTAGGATTAGGGTTAGGGCTTTCCGGACGTACCAAAAGGTTAAATTTGGTGTCATTCGAAAGGTACTAGTCCTAGTAAGAATTTACTGCAAACCGTTTGCATTTATCTTGTTTGGTTTTGGATTTATAAGTGTTTGAAGTTTTAAGGGCAGCCTTAAGGTAGGATTAGGGTTAGGGCTTTTAGGACGTACCAGAAGGTCAAATTTGATGCCATTTGAAAGGTAATAGTCCCGTTATTGAAGATCTGCAAACCGTTTGCATTTATCTTATTTGTTTTTGGATTTATAAGTGTTTGAAGTTTTAAGGGCAGCCTTAAGGTAGGATTAGGGTTAGGGCTTTCCGGACGTACCAGAAGGTCAAATTTGGTGTCGTTCGAAAGGTAATAGTCCCAGTAAGAATTTACTGCAAACCGTTTGCATTTATCTTGTTTGGTTTGGGATTTATAAGTGTTTGAAGTTTTAAGGGCAGCCTTAAGGTAGGATTAGGGTTAGGGCTTTCCGGACGTACCAGAAGGTCAAATTTGGTGTCATTCGAAAGGTAATAGTCCCGGTATTAAAGGTCCGCAAACTGTTTGCAGTTATCTTGTTTAGTTTTGGATTTATAAGTGTTTGAAGTTTTAAGGGCAGCCTTAAGGTATGATTAGGGTTAGGGCTTTCCGAACGTACCAGAAGGTCGAATTTGGTGTCGTTTGGAAGGTAATAGCCCCAGTAAGAATTTACTGCAAACTGTTTGCGTCTATCTTGTTTGGTATTGGATTTTTAAGAGTTTGAAGTTTTAAGGGCAGCCTTAATAACCGATCTCAGTTTGCGCGCTACCATAGTGTTACATCAAGTTGGAAGGAATTTTCGTACGGCGTGGCCCAAGGCTCAAAATTAGGTCCAATCCTCTTTGTCATCTACATTAATGACGCCCTTGAAGACTTGTTAGACCGCTATAAATTCGTTGAGGATCTGTCCGTATGCGAAAGTAGAATGCAAATGCTTTTTAAGATCATTGCAATACAAACATCATTCGACCAGGTGAATAGTTGGGCATTAGAAAATGATATTATCCTGAAAGGCGATAAGTGTAAGTTACTAATGATTTCGTTTATGACAGACTGCCCCCTGCCCCCAAAATTTTAACTTAATGATACCCCTCTTTAATACACAGAGAATGCATATGCATATCGGCTTATGGTTATCACCTTATGTAACCCTATCTAGACCGGGCTTTTTTGGGCTTGGTGGGACCGGGGGAGGCTCATTTGACCCCCAGCCTCAGAACTCGCGAACGGTATGTCGTATGACCACCAAATTTTCAGAAGATGGTGTAATAGTAACAATTTATCTTATCTACAATTTTATGACGTAATATGACGTCATTATGATGTCATTATTGTGATTTTATTGGCCAAAACCGTCTAGATAGGTTATTCCCTGAAAACTAAATGGTATACAACATAAAATTACCAAAAGTGTTTATGACAGAATATAAGGGTGTACTAAGTCTTATGTTGCCCATAGCAACACCGATGACGTTATGAAATGACGTCATGCATATTTAAGTTATCCGCCATTTTGGATCATCAATCTTGAATTTTAAAAATATTTTTTCAGTATAAAGCCTAAAATACGTTGTAAACAGACTAAAGACTATATACCGGTTCTAATGATATGGTCCGCCATCTTGGATTTTGACCAATGACGTCATCAAATTAGCATAAATTATGCATTTTTAATTATAAAATTTACATAATATTATCTGGGATGTTATTAATATTAGAAACCATTTGTACTTACTTGTACTTGTGTAATTTGACATAAAACCCATAAAATTCTATTGTTGAAACTGACACTACTAAATTTAATAAAAAATGCCTGTCAGAAACCCGTTGCCATGGCAACACAAAAAAAATATACCCATTAGGACGACGCCCTAACCCACCTATGTCTCCCCTCCCTGGAAAACAGGAGAGAAAACCTAAGTCTTAAGTTTGATAAACCCTTGCTAAGTTCCCCCACATTTAGAGGCTGGTTACCTCCAACCCGTTCGGAAGTTCATGCTAAAAACCTTAAAAGTTAAAAACAACTCTGCATCCCACTGGCAAAAACAAACACCTACAAAAACAGCCCTATCCCGTACTTCACTCAACTATTGAACAAATATACCTGTTAAAATCTCGTGTCAAGTGTCAATTATCACATCAATTATTACAGCCTATTAAGGACCTTTTCAATATTTTCTTATTCTGCAATTTCTTATAATATATATATATATATATAACTTAGAGAGAGAGAGAGAGAGAAAGAGAGTGGGATGGATGGATGGATAGATAGATAGATAGATAGATAGATAGATAGATAGATAGATAGATAGATAGATAGATAGATAGATAGATACATAAATAGATAGATAAATAGATAGGTATAGATATACGTTCATTGTTTAAGGGAATAGCCCTTTCACAGATTTTCATAGATTATAGAAATGACATAATAGCAATAACATTGTTTACTAAACATTCCATACCGTTCAGGCCTTCGTGTGTTTTATTGTGTAACTTGCGTTTTGCTCACCGTTTTTCCCATTTTCGACTCCCATTCAATAGTGCCGAAGTTGTCAAACGTGCCCAAATATTTTGCATCGAGTTCTACAGTTTTTCTGGTTGGATCTAGTGGTGTCGGAGTTGCCTCGTTCACTTTCCTGTCATCGGTGTGGTCAAACAGGAACTTGACATCAAACCTCGCCCCATCGTCAGTGTCGTTGTCGTATTTGACCTCGCATGTAAACGTGACTTTCCATGTAGTCAAGTCAATAACGGGTGGGTGAAGGACTGGATTCTCGGTAATTTCTGGAACATCCTCTGCAATAGAAAAAAATACGTGTTACTCTGTGACTCTGTTTTGTTACTCTGTCAACTATGTATGTATATGTGTATTGTATGCATGAATGAATGCCAGGACGACCCCAGTTTCAAAGTTTACTGCCTTAAGCATATTCTGGAATGAAATAAAACTTGTGTCGGTAAATGATTGGCCTAGCCTCTGCTGGCAGATTAGCCGCTACCGCTAGAATTCATTCATACCTTTGCCATGCAAAAGTATATTTATTCATTTTGGGATTTAGCCACTTTTTCAGACCAGAAAATTACACACACACACACACACACACACACACACACACACACACACACACACACATATATGTATATATAAATAAAGTAAAATAAAAGACTAAAATTAAAATACCTAAGACAGAAAGTTTAAACGTGCTAGTAAATTTAAAAAAAAAATAAAAAAATCACACTTCTCTATATTCGGGGCCCCTTAAAATCTGGAATTTGGTTCACATGGTTCCTTTTTAAAATCGGAAATTGATCTCATTTGGAAGCAAATGTACACAAAGTTGAGCAAAGGCAGTGGAAGAATAACATTTGTTACATTTTACTTTGGCGAGTATTTACTCTCCAATAACTTTTGTTATTTTCAAATTTTACCCGTTACCCCTGGGCCGGCCCGGGACTCCCACGCGGCCAAACGGTACAAGTATGAAAATTACTCGGAATGACAAGATCCATTGCGGAGCAACCGATTTCTTGTGTTGTAGCGGCCGACAAGATTATACTTCTTGCAGTTCGCTCAGATCTCTCATTTTGGGCCGAATTCAGTATGTTAGATGGGGGATAGGATAAAGACATTATTAATTAGCGAGTGTTATCATTGGTCAATTTTGTGCATTGTTTTTCGGCACTCCGGAGTTTCTCGTGTCGAAGTTTACCCATCTCGAGCCACAGAGCTAACAATTATGTTAACTGAATGTTTAGATAATATCATAACAACAACATTTTGCAAGTTTAGTTGGACTGTCCAAGAAAGGAACGATTCTGTTGGTAAGTATTGACCACCATGCGGCGTTATACCGGTTCCGGAAGTTCGAACGACCCCATGCGTTGACCTGTGTTCGATTGGAGAGGTCAAGACTCTTCTCAAGGGATTAGATCCTCACAAGGCGAGTGGCCCGGACGATCTCCCAACATGGACTCTCAAGCATTACGCAGAGGACTTTGCTCCTGTCCTCACTCACCTGTTCAACGATTCGTATGAAGAGGGCACTGTACCTAGCGCATGGAAGGCTGCAAATGTTGTCCCTGTGCCCAAGTCAAAGGGTGGAAACCGCCCCAATGAGATGAGGCCAGTGTCCCTCTTACCAGTAGCAGCCAAGATCATGGAACGGTGCATACTGAAGAGACTTCTGCCCTCTATTGCACCCGCCATTAGAAACCAGTACGCCTACCTGAAGGGTTCTTCAACTGTCTTAGCTGTCATTAGGATGGTGCATACGTGGCTGACTGCCTTAGACGCAAGACGTCACGCAGCAGTCCATGCATTGTTCGCAGATATGAGCAAAGCATTTGATAGAGTCAATCACGCAATCCTCCTTCAACGAGAAAACGACGTGGTAACCAACCCACGCATGGTAGCCTGGATACAGAACTATCTGCAGGACCGTACCCAGTAGTGGTTGTTAACGGTAAAGTCAGCGAGTGGAGGGTACTGACTTCGGGGGTTCCTCAGGGAGGTGTTCTGTCGCCATACCTTTTCCTCCTGTTTATGAGTACTCGAGACGCAGTCTACAGCGACACTCTCGATGTCGGTTACGCGGACGACGTGGGTTTGTCCCGGTCAATCTCCCTGGGGAAGGATGGCGTCGATAACAGTATGAGAGAGGAAGCGCTACAGCTTGATTCCTGGGCAAAGTGCAACGACATGTTGCTGAACGGAAAAAAAAGTCAGTGCCTGTTGATCTGCTTCAGCAGAAACATTCCTCTTTTACCACCACTGTTTCTCGGAGGTGAATCTGTACCATTCACAAGCGTCGCAAAGGGCCTTGGGTTCATCTTCGACTGCAAGCTGTCTTGGAACGACCATGTACAATCCCTCGTTTCAAAGGCCTCGAGCAGGCTGCACTATCTCCGACTACTGACCAAACAGGGAATGAGCGTGGCTGACCTTGGCCAGATTTATCTGTCACTTATTCGCAGCGTGCTTGAATACGGTCACGTTCTGCTGGTGGGTTGCAGGAAAGAACAATCGGACAGTATCGAACGTGTACAGAAACGGGCCCTCCGCATCATCTCTCTCGGCGGCAGACGAACAGTCCCTAACCTACCTTCTTTGAAGGAGAGAAGCTGCAGCAGTAAAACTCTTTAAGGACATGTTAAAGCCTGATCATCCGCTGCACGATCTCGTGCCTCCTCAAAGATGCACAGCCACTGGCAGGAATCTGAGGAACAATAGTGCGTTCACTCTTCCCAAGGCCAGAACTGAACGACTGAGAAAGTATTTCCTGCACACTGCAGTCAGACTTTATAATAACTCTATTTCCTAGACCAACCACCAACCTGTGAGCTTGGATCTTGGTGCAGTGTTTGTTACTATATGTATTTTTGTCAGGATATTTAGCATACATGGTATGTACAATTGTTTTTGTAACAAACCTACACAATTCAGGGCATATGGACATGTACATGTATATGTGTGTATTTCCCTGTCAATGTATGTTTGAAGAAGAAATAAAAATGATCACCAACATGTGGGATGTGATTAAGATAAAGCAAGCAGGAAACAGCGGGGTGTCATCGCAGGATATGTCAGTATAGGGATAGAAAGTAAAGAAGTTGAGAAATGGAGAAAAATAAAAATTGAAGGAACTACTAGATTTAGAGAAGGTGTTGAGGTAAGGATGAGAGCGGGGAGTAAGGTAAGAATGAGAGAGGGGAGAATGAGAGGGAAGTAATGTGAGAATAAGAGAGGGGAGGAAGGATGAAAGGGAAGAAGGAAAGCACAAAACTACACAGGGACAAAGGGTGGTGTAGACAAAGGCGCGATCCCCATAAGTCAAGGGAGGGCGCAGTGGGAATAGATAACTATAATCACTGCGCGCTGATTGGATCAGACTAATGAGTACATCTGTGATTACCATATATGTACATAAGAGACAAAGTGCCCTGTGCCTCTTTTCGAATTCTTCCGACACTTACCAGAGGGGCGCGACGGAGACTGGCGATCAGCGCGAGAGGAAATAGCGGATAATTGCTGGTGGAGGGGTAGCCAAGGGGCTCGTTGGGAGCTTAAGATTTCTTTAAAAAATTACAAATTGAGTAAATTTTACTGAATGCGATACTCACTGACGCATTTTCCATACGCGTCTCCCCAGACTTCGCCATTAGGACATGGCTCTTGGTTCCCTGCAGGATGAAAAAAAAACATGTATATTAAATATGCAACGAAAACATTTGCCCATAATTACCCAACAAATAAAATTGAAGCAAAAGTATTGTTGAACCACGTTGTCCTTTTGTCAGTTAAATTGGTTAACTTGGTGTTTTTTTGTCTCCTTTAACCCTCAACAGAACACCTTCCCGGACTGATTAATCTGTACACCTGGGGTCCGCGCGGACCCCAGAACAGTTTTTTGCTAATTTTTAGAAATTATCAACATGCTACCAGCTCAATTGTTTTGCAAACTGATGTGGAAACCTCTGTGTCCCCATTACATACAAAAATCATACATTTTGAACTTTTTCTATTTTTTGGTGAAGAAAAGAAGACAAAAAGAAATACCCGATTTTTAAACCCATTTCAGACTAAAGGGGCTTTTGAGGCCCAACTTTGATCTCAGATAGCGGCTAAACGGCTTGCGCTAGAAGTATCAAATTTGGAAACCTTTCCTAAAATGTCTCTTGAAAAAAGTTCATATTAGTTTAATACTAGTAAGCTGATGTTTTTTTGTGTTGCCATTGCAACGGGTTTCTAGCAGGCAGTTTTTTTGAAAATAGAAGTAATTTTGGTTTAAACATAAAAATTTTCTGAGTTTTATATTAAATTACACTAATTTTCCAACATTAATAACATCTACATAATTAAATATAAGTTAAATCATTTAATATGCACAGAATATGCTAATTTGATGACGTCATTGGTCAAAATCCAATATGGCGGACTATATAATTAGCTCTGACGTCATATGACGTCATAATTACACCAAATTTATTAAAATTTAATTCTATTACTGCACCATTCTCTGAAAACTTGTTAGACATACGATGAGTGCATAGAAACATATAAAAACGGAAATAAGGTAATGTATAAGAACGCCAGTGCATCCATTATGATCGAAAGCCGGCTGGGGTCCGCGCGGACCCCAAAAGAAAATCAGATATAATTTTTTTATAAATGGTAGAAACGGAGTTTTCTGCACTGTATTGAGAGACAACTTTGTGGGTGACAATTACCTAAAATTTCAGAAAAAAATCTTTAGAAACAAAAAAGATATTACAGAATATATAGTGCTGGGGTCCGCGCGGACCCCAGGTGTACTGTTTAGGGTTAAATCCATTATTATATGGCCACTAGAATGACGTGATAAAATCTGATGAAAATGTAATGTCATTGACTGAAAACTTGTCATATGCCTTTGGGTTGCTGTAAAATTTAAGGTTGATGAAGAGAACAAACTCATGAAATGACGTCAATTAAGACCTCTGGTCTTCGTTTAACAGCTACATTGTCAAAATCTGGTCATTAAATAAAAACTTCTCAATGCTAGTCTAAAAGTACGAAATGCCGTTCAATTGAGCTTCAGAGGCAAAGTCGACAAATTGCACATAGCCAGCGTCAAGTACTTACCAGCACAGTACGCTTGGTCACACCCAGGTGTGGGTGATAGGCAGTACGCATAGAAGTCAACCCCCGCATTGTCAGCGCATTTTTTGACAAGAATGGGAATGCTGTTGCTGCAGTAGTTACCCGGAACACCGTAATTGGCACACACGACCCTGTCTGCTACCTGGCTGTTAATGGGATGGGGACCGTCAAGCCAAAGAGGAACCCGAGTTCCACAGTGGTACGGCTCTACGAAGACTTCTGGAATACGCACACTCTGACTGTGTGCCTCAAACCTGTACCATCCCTTTGTCAGTCTGTTGTCACATATGTAGAGGTCGCTTGGGCCGGGGACGAACGCCGTGCTTCTGTTCGGGTCCACTATCGTGTTATTGTAGGCGGTGTCGCATATTTCGTCGTCCGTAATGTTGCAGGGATCTTGTCCCAGTGACGTTTCTGTAAAACAAATATAATACAGGTATATAGGCGTCAAAATTATAACCACGTTCTGATACGTTAGTAACATTCAATAAATGCATTTTCATTAACATGTGTTGACAGTGTTTACATTTAATTTATAGGACTTACAGGTTATAGATGAAATAAATAAATAAATGAATACATGTGGAATACGTTATACCTATTTTATAGCATTTAGAACATTTACAGATGCACATTGTGCAAAGAAAGGCCTAGTTTACTCTATACTTAATGATTGCGTATTGCTATTGATAAAAATGTTCTGCACAAGTTCAAGTGATATATCTTTTTTTAATTTTAATTTGAATAAATTATGGCATGCATAGGTCACCTGTCAATTGAATTCTGAAAAAAATAATCGCATGTACTACTAATAATTGAGGTAGTTAAAGAAGTAGAAAAGACCATTTGTTAAAATAGGCTTTTGCTAATCATGAACCATTTCCATAATTGATGAGATTAAAAAAATTATAGGTACTAATTTGGAAATAATACGAATTCGGGAATTTCATTAATCTCCACAAATTTAATTTACCATAACTATATAACAGTACATAGTGACAATGGTAGGATATAAACTATTAATGAAAATAAAATACTAGGCAAACGTATATCAAGGAATAGGATGCCTAAAACCGGAAAGTAAAGGTAGAGGACAACATTGCAATGCCACATTGAAACAATAAACGTACCACAGTCCACCTGGTACAACTGGACTCCTCCATACACCAACTTCCCAACCGTTTCCCAGTCTATCACGTTTCCATGGTAACTGCTATCGTTCATGAACTGTTGTAATATTTGTGATTCGGTCATGACATAATCCCAGACGTTGAAATTTGAGATATCCCCAGAGAAAGCTTGGTTAAGTTGGAATGCTCCACCCGGAGTATCCTGATCTTGACCAAGGATCCAAACTCCACTTGGATCAACTGACCCTCCTCTAGACGAAGCAGTACCGGAAGTTACTAAACATCCATCTTTGTACATTTTCCAGTCGCCACTGGAACTCCGCCCGGTGAAGCATACCAAATGCCACATGCCATCCAACACATGAAGGTTGAAGAAGCCAGTGCCAGAGTTGTGCATATTGGCCTAAAGGGTCAAAATTGTAAATTCATTGACGAGGAAAAAAGGCAACACAGTGACTTAATTTTTTTTTTATATTCCGACTACTAAAAGGAAATTACCATTGCCTATAATTTGACGTTAGAAGTGAATATAGTATAAACGACATATTTTGTTAATGATATAAAATGTGGTGGCCTTTATATCTTTCTTAAATTAACCGATAGGAGCAAGGGACGCACAGCAAATGTTGTCCGACCCCTGTCGCCAAACAGGTAAAGTTCATTATGATTTCGCTGGGTGGCGTAGCTGAACAATGTTCCACTATGACCGGCGTCTGTTCTCATGCGGACACAAGCCGTCACTGCAGTCAGGGAAGATGTCAGCGTAGTTTCAAGTCGTACGTAGTCATGTTGGGTCATTGTTGAAGGAAATCTCAAAACTTCTCCACAACTCTGGTTTGACTGGCACACTAGAATATAAAATAGATACGTTTTGTTCAACTAAATGTGTTTCTACCACAAGAAAAAAAAGAAAGAAAAGCTCTGCCAGTTTTATATGGTAGACTTTAAGAGCTACAATACTACGACCTACTTAGCACCACAACACAGTTATTTCTGTAAGCATTTAGCTTACGGATATTTTTCTACATCTCATCTGTAGATATCTGAGATATATTTTGCAGCTGTTGTAGCGTGCCGTGAAAGGTTAATATAAATAAGAATGAAGATGACAATTATTCCTGCATAGTTCAAAGGGGTAATCTCTATCCCTGGTTGCCATTTCTCGTTATGCGGCAGTGCATCGTGCCTCGGTGTTCTTATTACCTAATGTTTAGGTTTGTACGAAGGTCAATTTTGTTGCGCAAACACGACGTCACTTGACATGCATAGCAAACCTCAATTCACTTGACAAGTAGGTCCTTCTTTACCTTTTGACTGTGATAGCTATTCCCTTTTTTAATTTTCTAAATTCCCTTTTTAGGCTTTACAGAAACAATAGTTTCCAGAGATTTCTATTTGACTGTTGCTTACAGTTTGAACGGCTAAAACATATACTATCTATCTATATCTATCACTATATCT